CATCCATTTTGACCTTTTCCTTCTTTCTTGTCTTCTCAATGACTTTTTGCACTCAATGGCACCTAACACTAAATAATATAGGGGACATATATATAAACAAATACGCTTATATAGTGAAGTTGCTAGAAAAGGACATATAGTCTTTGATAAAATGGAGGGTCAGCAAAAACATGGAAAGCCCTCAATAACATAGATTGGCACAGTTGGCACAATAGACTCAAATGTACCAACAGTCCTGCAGATGGGACAGGAATGTACAACATTTTCTTTTATTACACTCATACATAGGGCCACCAAGTGTTAGAACCAACTCAGTGTCAAGTAACAGTAACAAATCATGGAGGATAACAGAAAACTATAGTAAGTTATGAAGACAGAGTGATTTGTTGACCTACATTGATAAGGTAGGTAGTTACCAAGGCCTTTCTAAGGAGGTGGCATGAGCCTAGGACAAAATGAGGAGAAACTACTTAAAAGCATTCCAAGCATAGTGACAGCAAGTGCAGAGGTCCTGAAGAAGAAATAACCTTCAAGTATTCAAGGAACTGAAAGATCTTTATGACCAGCACACATAGTAAGGGAAGTAAAAGTGATAAATCAGTTGGAGAAAGAAAGTAAAGCAAAGTTAAGAAATGAACATACCAGGAATAAATCATCTCAGGAGGCTTCATAAATGATAAAGTCAATACTGCACAAGTGTTTTAAAATTAAAATGATCATATTTGTAGTTTTAAGGACAAAGCTGGAGGCTCAGTAGAATAAGTAGGGGTAAGTAGGTGTCTTTTGTCGAGCAAAGTAGCAGGATGAGGGTGCTTCAAAGGCCAGTGTTTGACATGCTGCAGCTACCAAGCTGTTCTTATTAAAATATCTCCAGCAGAAACACTACTACATTTGTGTATGAGGTTTTCAAAAGCAATGGCAACCTCCTTTTTAAATACTTCTTACGCAGCTGAGTAGATTTTTATTCCCCTGACAAATTAACTCAGCCTCATTCTCCACTGTAGTTCCTCCAAGTTCAATTCTGCATTTCCCCATCTCTTGCAATGGAAGGGCATTGATCTTGTAAAAGATAGCCTGAGCCTTCAGCTGGTGACTCTTGCTGTTTACTGATCATTTTCTTTACAGTGGCAGTGGCACAGTGTTCTTGGATGCTCGCGCATCAGATAGGCTATCCCAGTGAACAGAAAGTGCCTTGGAAATCCACAATTTAGGAGGTCTTCATGATGATGGCAAAATGTGCAAGTGAAATTTAATCTTGTACTCGAATTAGCAAACACTTGTAGTTTATTGAACAGAAATCAAATGATTAGGTTCATAGCTATTCTAGTTACATGAATAAAAATGGATTTTCCCCTTATAAATTCGGTTTTGTTTAGAAGACTGAGTATCAAGGTATGGAGACTTGCCAAACCTCTGGGCCTTGCTACTCCTGGAACCTAAGAAACAAGTCTAAAGTCTTTAAATTCCATCATACAGCTTGCAGCAGACTGTTCTTATTATAAAGAGCAAAGTTCAGGACACATGAGTTCACTTATTTTATTTTATTTTATTTTATTTTATTTTATTTTATTTTATTTTGGCAGAATTAAGATGCCTTGGTTTCAAGGCAATAGAGTACAACTCGCCAAATACGCCTTTGGATTCCTCATGAGAAATCTCTCTGCCTCTGAGACTACTCTGCCGGTGCTGACCTTATTCACAAAGGTACAGAGTCAAAAAGTAAAGTGACTTCTATAAAAATGTGAAGTTTTAAAAATGTTGTGTAAAGCAAAATGTTGAAAAGGAAGGCAGTGGAATGAACTTCAGATCTGCTCCTAAATGTTTCCACCAGCATATTAGTAGTAACTCAGTTTTCTACCCAGACATCTTATTGTTTTATAAATATGAGGGTAAATTAATATATGTAGTGATCATCTGACACAGAGATTGAAAAAGAAGTACTATCAAATTATAATACGATGCTTACAAACACATCACTTAGAAATACTGATTTTTCCATCCCTGACTAACACTAGTTTTAAGCCATGAAACTTTTTTCTAAGGAGCTTTTGATCCCCCTGAAATTTATAGTACAAATGCTACTGATTTCCTTTTGCTAGGTGACATAACTTTGTGTGATTTATAATCATAAGAGAAAGTTCAGGGTAATAAAATTAACTTCAGGGAATGACACTGCATTTCAAACAAATAGTTTCTCTTTAATAGACTTTTCAGATTTCAGGCATTTGAAAATATCTGACAAATACCTACCTACTAACAAAGTTTAAGTCATTTTTCAAAATGAATTTCTTATTGGGGATGCTTACTCTAAACCACTTCTCATATCCTTAAGTATATATTGTGCTAGTGGAAATGATCGAACAAAAATATGTCATCTTGTGAGTTTACTATGGGGAATGTATGTGAATATTAATCACAACAATAAAACAGTCCCTTAAGGATAGTGGTGCTCCTTCAGCCCACCTGCACTGTTTTTCAATCTGAGCAACAGCTCATATAGCCAAACACATTTTCCAACACACACACACCCTAACCTATTCAGCTTAGCACACAGATACGGAGCCCTTCATCTGTGCCATTAGACTTGTAAAATCACTTCCCCTTCAGAGTTTGCAATCCAGTTTAAAAAAAAAAGAGAGAGAGAGAGAACTCAAACTATAGTATCAGATCTTTTCCAGTTATAAATAATAGAAATTACTTCCTAAAATGACCTAAAAGGATTTTATGGGTTGGTCTGGTTTCAGAAACAGAGTGACTCAGAAACTAAGCATGTTACCAATCTCTTCAGCTCTGCTTTTCCTGGCTTAAATCTATCCCCATTCCAGCTCTTCTCATGGACAACTTCAGCAGTCTCAAGCCCCGATCACATTTCTCAGATACCTACAGAAATTCTAGCAAAAGTTCTAAGACGTTCTATCAGCTCTAATTAGCTCAGTCCTGAGCGAACCCTAGCCAAGTTGTTGTTGCTAAGTGCCATGAGTTGGTTCTGACTCATAACAAAGGAATAAGATATTGATTGCTTCAGACAAAGTCAGGTGTTCTACCCTTATTACTCATGAATGGAGTCAGCCGTGAGGTATGAGCTGAGAGTAGTTTCTGTGAGTAAAATTACAATAGTCTTGCTATAAGAAAGGAGAGTCAGGGTTAGACTCTCAACCCAACAAATACAATTGAAGCACAGAGTAAATAACAAGTGCTGTGTTGCTGCCATGAAAAATCCCAGAGAAGGATGAAATCCCTAGTTGGAAGGTGCTCGTTTCCTAACTTCTAGACAAATAAAAAAGCTGTCTTCAAATCTGTAACACTCCATTCCTCTCTTGGTAGATGTAAAAGCTAGTAATCCTATGAAAACTTTATACCTTTAGCCTGTAAAACAAATTTAAGTAGTGTGCTTCTATCCCACCCTACAAAAATGTCACCCAGATCTTCAGATTAGTTCGTTCTTCATATGAGTTACTTGCATTAGATATATTATTTTTCATTTTTTAATTGTAAATTGGGTGAACGTTTACAGAGCAAATCAGCTTTCCATTCAACAATTCATATACCTTTGGTTTCATGTCACTGATTACAGTAGCCACAAAATAACAACGCTTATTCCACGTTCTCCCTGTGTTCCAGTTCCCATCCCTCCTTTCCAAACCCTTCCTGCCTTCTGAAGTTTGTCCTGGGGCAAATGCTACCCTTCTTGTCTCACTGGTGGATTATACTGAAGAGTGCTAACTTCCCTAGTGTTATTATTCACCTTCTGGTAGTGTGATGTAGAGTTGAGTGAGTTACAACTCCTAACAACCCTGTATACGGTTTCCAAGGCTGTAAATCTTTATGGGAGCAGAAAACCTCACTTTTCTCCAGCAGAGCTGCTGGTGGATTTGAACTGCTGACCTTGAAGTTAGCGGCCCAACATGTAACCCACTACACTATAGACCTATGTATTGTTTGACTGAAAATTGAGGAGTTAGTTCAACACCAGACCTAAAAGGTGACTAAAGGCCATAGTCTTGGGGTTTGCACTATTCTCTTGTCTGACTAGTAAGCCTGGGGTTTTGTTTTGTTTTTTATGATTTTGAGCTTTTTGCACATTTTCCTCCCACTCTACCCAGAACCTTCTAATGTATTCCCTTTCTGAGTGTTCTGTAGTGGTAGCCAGGCACCATGGGTCATGGAAGCTGAGTATCACATGGTTTAGTCGTTCACTGGACTTATGGTTTCCATGTGCCTTTGATTTTCTTCACTCTTCTTTGCTCTGGGCAATAGTTGCCATGACGAGTCTTAAAAACCCCAGTTGTTATCATCAAAGTTGGATTTATAACATTGTCTTTAAGGACTATCATAGGCCAGTTGACCATGGTGTCCCCTGAGTCTATGGTCCTCAGCCCCAGGCCCAGTGACTCATTCATTCCCTCAAGGTGTTTGGCTATGGCAAAGAAATTTCCATAACATTGTCCCCTGTATGCTCTACTATACTCATGGATATATTTGCGGTACACGTAAATGTATATGTAGAAGTATCCTCCATCAAACCTATATATATTCATGGGTATAGTCTCGTGCTCCTTTCCGCACCTGCACAGCTTGCTTGTCAATGCATTTGTTCATAAATTATTGTTTTTGCAGGAGTATGTATATAATAGTATTTATCTCAGTTGTCTTTAACTCTTTTACTCCTCCCAGTGTCTTCTTTTGCCTTCATTTTTTGCTGAGCTTCCTCTGATTATATATTGCCTTCTCCTTTATTCAAGTTAGTCTGCTTGCATTGAATATTGAAATATGATTAAAATAAAAGATAACCTGTATTGTCATTATTAGAATTAGTCTGGTTATTTTCTTGTGGTGTTTAAATGTTCCTTTAAAATCTGATGACCCTTTCCTTATAAAAGGACATACACACATGATCATTTGCATGTAGTTCCATAGACTCCCAAGTTAAAAACAAAGAAAAAAAAAACAACCTTGCCTTGGCTCTTCTAAATGTTTTAAATTTAAGAGAAAAATGTTGGTATATTTGGTATATCTGAAATTAGGCATATTCTTATTTTGCTTTTAAGAGCCTCTGTTGACTTTTTAAAATGATTTTTTTAGAACATTACAGGCTGTACATAATAATCTATGTTATTAATAATAACATGATGAGCCTAATTCTCCAACTCAGGAAATTAGAGCCAGAAAGACAACTTCCTTCTGAAGAAAATTGATCTTTTGATGATCTTGGTCCTTAACAAGGAGTTAGAATGGAGGAAAGAATGTTCCTGTATATCACAGCTCATCTCTTACTTTCATGTTCAATTATATAAGCAGCCCAGTTTTTATCCTACAGCATCATACTCCAAGAGAACCGTGTTGTTGTTATTAAGTGCCATTGAGTCGATTTCAACTCATAGCGATGCTGTATAGGTTTTCCAAAGCTGTACATTACTGAGGGAGCAGAAAGCCTCATCTTTCTCCCACAAGAGAACCTATTTGTTGTGCTATCAAGTTGGTTCCAACTCATATATAGT